TCAGTGGACGGGGAGGCAGGTAGTGGAAGCTGTCGTCGGCAGGGACTTGCGAAGGGACCGCCTGCCTGGAGCTCGATGGCGGTTCTCGATGGCGGGGTGCTCCTGTGGGGCTTCACCGAGTGATAAGATAAGATTCACCGGTACCTACCTTCAGGTAAGGCAAGGTAAGGCACGGCATCCATCCGTACCGTGCAGAATGGTTCGACTGGCAGAAATCAAATCATGACGCCGTTGACGCTATCCTCACAGTGACGTATCACGACCACTCCTCCTCCGCCACCACCTGCCGCCGGTCAACACAGTCCACATTGACGACGGCCGCGGCGCCTTGACATGCCGCCTCGCCATTGTGAGCCATGAACGTCCCATTCGCTCTCCTCCAAAGGCCGCTCCTCCAGCTTGGCCTGCGCGCCGTCTGCGCCCAGCCATCATCTCGTGCCGCGACACGCCTCCTCTCGACATGCATCACCTCGACGACGACAACGACGACGACAGCGACGTCGACGACGAAAACCACACACACACGCTGCCTCGACGGCACTGCACATGGACTGCCGCGCTTTGGCAGCAGAGCGGACACCCAATGGCCCAGTGCGAGGACATATGCAACCACCCGCACCATCGTCATTGATCGCTACGAAGACCTGCCCGACGACTATGTCGACAAGGACGGCCTGCCGTTTCGCACGACCGAGCTGTCGTCGGCCGAGGTGAAGAAGATCTTCGGACCCAGGACCAAGAGCGTCAACGCCAACCGCCTGCTGAGGATACTGCACGGCCGCCGGGTCGCGGGCACCCTGAAAGACCCGGCCTACAGCGGCAACACCTTCTCTTTCACCAAGGACGAGAAGCTCAGGGCCATGGCCTATCTGCGGAAGAGTGTTCCCGTTGACGAGGTTCTCAACGAGGGTCTGCGCGCCGAGGACGAGCTGCGCGAGCTCGAGCAAGAGGCGGCCGGCGAGGTCATGGCAGACGGCGACGGTGCAGCGCCGCCCCAGACGACGCAGCAGCAGCCCCAAGACCAACAACCGCAGCCGCTGCGTCGCAAGTCCGACTCGGTATACGGCGACAGCGTCTTCGACAACATCCGCGCCAGGAACATCGCCAAGCGCGAGGAGCGCGAGCGCATCGAGGCCGAAGAGCGCGCCGAACGCGAGCGCCTGAACCCGGGGCCCCTGGCCAAGCTCTCCGACGGCCAACCGCGCCAACTGTCGCCGCAGCTGCAAAAGTGGTCCGACGCCGCGACGTCCAACCTCGAGGCGCCCCCCGAGATGACGCACGTGGAGCGCCTGCTGCCGCCGACGACCCTCGTCGTCCTCGTCGTCGCCGCCCTCGCCGGCTTCGCCGCCGTCTACACGCCGCCCGCCCAGCACGACCGCCTCTTCCCCGAGGTCTCGTTGGCGACCGCCACCGTTGCCACCCTCATCGGTCTCAACGCCCTCGTCTTCCTCGCCTGGCGCGTGCCGCCCCTCTGGCGCCTCATGAACCGCTACTT